GCTACTCGGGAGACTGTGGCAGGAGAATCACTTGAACCAGGGAGTTGGAGGTTGCAGTGAGCCAAAATCGCACCACTGCACTCCAGCCTGGCAACAGAGCAAAACTCCGTCTCAAAAAAAAAAAAACAAAAACAAAAAACAAAAACAGAGGAAATCACAGGATAAAAACTCTCCAGTAGGCCTGGAGAACAATTATTTCAAATGAAAGCAGAGGTCAGAGGGCTCTGGAAAAGTTTTTGGAAAAGAGTTAGTGCTAAGAGATTCTAGTCTGTTGACGGGGTTGAAAATAGTATTCATAGACACTTGACAGGTTTAAAGGAACATTTAAGGGAAAATGTATCTAAGGTAAACTAAGCAATTTTTAAAGCAGCAATTATTAACTCAAGAAAAAATAAAATGTTGGGCAAGAAAGACAAATTAATCACTATATTAACTAAAATATGTAATCTAATTATATTGGGAAATGTAGAGACAGAAGGACAAGTGGTGCAAACACTAGTCTTCATTTACCACAGCAAGATATCATGGAGTAATACCTAAAAATGACAAATTAAGAAATCACAGAGCATTGGTTAGAATTCTGCAGTTAAACATGAGACAGAAAGCTAAACAGAGCTTAGAGAGATTGTCTCTGGACAGAATAACTGAGAGTGGAGGTGAGGAAGACTAAACTTCTATTTTAAGCCCTTTGATACTATTACCTAACTCCGTATATTTCAGAAATGTGTATTACAGTTCTGAAAACATGAATTAATCTTCAAATGGTAAACTGATCTAACACTCATATCAATTCATGAAATTCCCCAATTTTTATCTTTGTAAAAAAATGTCTAAAATACAGCATAAAAATTAGAATAGCAGTTTATCATTTGGGGTCAGGCACCTACTGAATTCCTTATTCCCACTGCAGAGTTAATGATAGGTGCCCTCTACTAGCAAATGTAATTTCAAAGCTGGCCAAAATTTGTCATCTATATGTTAACAGATCCAGATACCTACAGAGCCAAAGAAGAGAGGGGCACCTGGTCCTGCTGACTTCCAACACAGAGGCAAATTCTGGTCCACAGGCTGGTCCCCTCCCCCTACTGGCTCTAGCATTTTACTCTATTTTTAAATGGATTCCTTATGCTTTGACCATGAAATGGAAACAACACATATAAACAATGTGTGTGAAACAACATAGTCTCAAAAACTGTAATGCCCTGAACAAATTTGTTATGGTTTCTTCTACCACAAATTCAGACTTGTTCAGATCTATTTTGGTGAAAAACACCCAATGAAGCTATTATGCTACTCCTGATCTTCAGTTTAAATACCGGAACTGTATAGTAGGGGGAAGACTAAAAACCACTAAAGCCAAAGCAGATTACTACATCAGAGTCAAAATGGGCCATTTTTGCCTTTGGGAGACCAGACATAAATAGTTACCAAAAAATTTCCAGGAGCTCAAATTATTTCAAAAATAACTTTCCCTATGAAGCTGATTATATACAGAATAAAAAAAAAAAAGCCATGAACTACTTAAAAATTCTGACATCTAATGTCTCCATTTATTTAATACAGCAAGATCTGATGCAATTATATGCTGTTGCCAACAAACTGAGTAAGCAAGCCCATGGTTAAACAGTAGTGGCACTTCAAAAGAAATGAATCAGGTCATAAATGTAAACACCACACAACTATTATTTCAAAATAATAGTTGCAAGTGTATGCAATATAAGAAAAGACTTATATATATTTAAGGAAGCACTCCCTCCCACAAGTAAGTAAGAAGTTTAGGGATCTCTTAACATCAAAGACTTTCCTTGGCAGACAATAGGCTTAATATCTGCATTGTACAATTCTCTTCCTAGTTCTCTGTGGTTATGTAAAAAAGGTTAACACTAAAGTACAAAGTGGAGGGGGGAAAAGTACCACACTTGTACTTACTGGGAAACTCTTTATTCTTTTAAAATCAACAGGACTTATTTTGAAGAAACAGAAAAAAGAAATACAAACTTGGCAAATACTTATTCCCTGCCTGAGGGTTAGATAATCAATATTTCAGAAAACAGGCACATGCAAACTCCAAAACCATTAACTATTTTAGTTTTTTTAAATAGCTGTTCTAATTATTTAACCAAAACCAAGAGTCTGAATTTCCTTTTACAATCAACAGATGCAATTTTCAAACATGACCCACATTTTCCCAAAAATCTGTATTATATGTTCAAAGAAAAAAACTAGAAATACATATATCTTTAAATGAGGCTCTAAAAAACTATATACAAACAAAATATTCAAAGCGACTAAAATGAAATGAATGCATTTAGGCTCTCAGAATTAAATTCTCATGGCACGAATGTTGAGCCCTGGCAGCTACTTCATACACTTAAGGTGAAGTTTGATCCTTTAGTTGTTATAAAGCAATCTCTCCAATGCTGAAGTATCTCACTATTACTATCCAAAATAATTCACATGGAAATAAGAGTTAATCTCAAACCAAATAACATTTTACTGTGTGCAACTAAAATTAAAATTGGCTCAATTAGCAATTTTTACAATTGCCGGTCCCATAGTGTGTATATTAGACAGTTGTTTTTTAAATGCCTAATATCATAGGACATTTTTCTAACATATTGTCTATCAATTATCTTAGGGAATAATTCCATGTCAGAAATTTGTTTTCTAGAAATTTAAACTTGATCTTCAAAAACTTTAATCAAAACATTACCCCAGTATTGTGCAACAAATGTTCAAAACAAAGTAATGAACAATTTAAAACCTACTATTTAAAAAAGGAAAGCCAGCCAGCCTGGTGGCTCACATCTGTAATCCCAGTACTTTGGGAGGCTGAGGTGGAAAGATGGCTTAAAGTCAGAAGTTCAAGAGCTGGGCAACTTCCAGACCCCATCTCTACAAAAAATTTAAAAATTAGCTGGGTGTGGTGCCACATGCCTGTAGTCCCAGCCTACTTGGGAGGCTGAAGTGGAAGGATCACTTAAATTCAAGAGTTCTAGGCTGCAATGAACTATGATTGCACCATTGCACTTCAGACTGGGTGACATAGTGAGACTCCACCTCTGAAAAATAAGTAAGCAAAAATTAAAACCTGAGCTTGGTTATCAAGGACAAGGATTTAAAGAAGCTAAAACAATAATTATACTTTCTTATGATCAATTAAGTTAAACCTGAAGAAAGATGACAGTTAATTTCCAGCCAGTTTTTCTGGTGATGACACAGTACAAGAACAGTTCAGAAAATTAAGAGTCTTCGGTGTGAATCAAGGATAAACAGACAAGCAATTTCTACAAAGAAGGCTGTCTTAAACCCAGCTAGAACAAAGAAAAAACAGGAGAAAACTTCTACTCAAGAATGGAAACAGCTCACACTGATAGAGCTATCAATTCTAAAGCAGAGGCCAGGCGCAGTGGCTCACACCTGTAATCCCAGCACTTTGGGAGGCAGAGGTGGGCGGATCATAAGGTCAGGAGTTCAAGACCAGCCTGGCCAACATGGTGAAACCCCGTCTTTACTAAAAGTGCAAAAAATTAGCTGGGCATGGTGGAGTGTGCCTGTAATCTCAGCTACTCAGGAGGCTGAGGCAGGAGGATCACTTGAACCCAGGAAGTGGAGGTTGCAATAAACCAAGATTGCGCCATTGCACTCCAGCCTGGGCCACAGAGCCAAGACTCTGTCTCAAAAAAAGAACAGAAAAAAAAAACTAAGGCAGAGTACAAAGTCTCCACATAAAATCTAGTCAGTTACAACATCTTTGACATAACCTGGCTTATTGTAAAAATAAACTCTCAATTCCCTCTTCAAAGGGTCTTATAAAATTATATTAGCTAGTATTTATTGTGAGGCATCTAGCTAACACAAACACTTAAGACAACTGCAAATTTGATTTTTCAATGTCCAAGTTTAATTTCAACAGTTTTCAAAATCTGAAATTACCTTCCTAAATTCATCTGCATTTTATACATCTGTAAATAGCACACTGAAGATACACTTTTCATTGTATCTTAAGAAGGGGGGAGGCTAGGTATGGAGGCTCACACTTGTAATCCCAGCACTTTGGGAGGCCGAGGCAGGCGGATCACGAGGTCAGGAGTTCCAGACCAGACTGACCAACACAGTGTGAGACCCCGTTTCTACTAAAAATACAAAAATTAGCCGGGCATGGTGGCAGGTGCCTGGAATCCCAGCTACACAGGAGGGTAAGGCAGGAGAATCGCTTGAACCAGGAAAGTGGAAGTTGGCAGTGAGCCAAGATCGCGCCACTGCACTTCAGGCTGGGCGACAGAGCAACTCTGTCTAAAAATAAAAAAGGGGGAAATTTGTCTTAAGATCTGCAGTTATTATAGTAGTTTTTATAGTCTAAAGACTGTAATTTTTACAGGAAATACAATTGGAAAACCTTAGAAAAACTAAATGGAATCAACGAAGTACACTGACTAAAAGCAAATGTTTCAAATAACCTCTGAGCTACCAGAAGCAAATGCAAAATTCAATACCTTAAGAATTCTCTCCCTCCTCTACCCTACAACAAATCACCTCCAAGAAGAATCTTCTAACAGAAAAAAAATGAAAAAATAAGGGGGGTAGAGAGACTTCAATAACTGAAACCCATTGTTAAAATAACCAAAAGTTAATTGCATTTGCATTTTATCCATAGCTGTAGTGAGGACACTGGTTTACTATGTCTGAACTAATGCAATATGAATTTCAGCCTACAAAAAAATTAGATCTGAGCATAAAAAGGTTGACATTTAAAACAGTTGTTTCTTCCAAAGTATTTCACCAATTCCTTGTTCCAACTTGGCAGCACTTTAAATATTAAATTGGGTGAGGGGGTAATCAAATACCAAATTTTAAAATAAGTAATTTTTGAAGTATGGAATTTAAAATATATTTTCATATCAAAAATCTTCAAAGCAATTAAAGTATGTGTTCCAAACATTTTATATTCTTTAAACTGTCAAACATTAAGTTACTGAATGACAAAATGAAGACTCTGCTTTAAAAAAAAAAAAATGCAAGCTAAAAGTCTGAATAGTATTACAGTTGAAGCTTTGGGCTACCTTTAATACCTCCCATGCATCTTAAGCAACTCGTAACCTTTGTCTCAGTTTCATAATCTATAAAACAGAAAAAACTACAAGGATGCATAGTTAATTAAATTAGTCAGGATTAAATGCTAGCAAACTACTTTGAATTTACTTTATGTTGTTCTCAGTTATACTCCTACTCAGTAAAACAGATGAGAAAACATCTGGAATTACTATAGATAATCACATCTGCAGACTCACAGCAGTTAAAAAGATGATCTCTACAAATTTCTAAGCCAAAGTTCATTCAAAAACCCCAAAGATTTTAAGATACAATTGAATGATCAATTTTAGGTGAATTTCTTTTCAGTCTCAAGGATGCCTAGGCTTACCTACATTCTCAAAACAGACCACTACACAGAAATCTCAGTGTATCTTGAGAGGTCTTGGCACAAGACAATTCTAGGTAAGACCAACAAGCTGTTACTGTCCTTAATGCTATTCTCAGCATTCTAAATTGTCAATCAAGGTAAGCTTAATCATAAATACACCCTCCAAAAAGTACTAGCCCCTACTGAGAATCCATCAAAGTACTTCCTTCCAAGCCATCTGTCCAGGAAAGCTCTATTAAAAACACCTAGAATGCAATTGTTCTCCTGTCTAAAGAGGCTATGAATAAACATAAAATATCAAAATACATTAAACAGCATACCTTTTCCACTTCAAACACTGATATCTACCTACTAAATCTATTTCAGTGCCTTGGTTGAACACAAACCTGTATGTATGTAGGTCAGAAACTGCAGCTTAGTCAAAGGAGACTAACGTTTTGTTTTCAAAGAAGAAAAAATATAAAAAAAAACAAGGTCAGGAAGGGGAGAAAAGCTCAAAAAGAAGAAAAAAAAAAAACAGAGCTGGTTAGGTTAGGGGAAATAATGTACATGTAAATTAGTCCCTGATGGAAGAGGGACTCAAATTTTAAAACAGGAATTTAAATTACTCACTGAGCTACACAGTAAATTGCTCATTGGTCTACTCACTGAGCTGCAAACTCTATAAAACATAAGTATTTCTAAACCTAGCTTGAAGAACCCAAAATCAATCTTTTATATTCCAGTGGAGAAGGAAATTACATCAATTTCAATGAGGAAAAAGGAGGCTGTTAAACGAGCCTAAGGCTAATGGTGTACAAGCAAAGAATGAAGAGATGAAATTATTTTGGGGATAAATAACAGGAAACCACACCAAAGAGTTAGAGTTCTTCCCCCAACTCCATCATTTCTTCTGCTTAGACCATGAAGGATGTTCTTTACGCACGATTAAGCATGTTACTAGGAAAATAACTTCTGATCAGTGTGTCAAAACTTCTTCACAACAAGGAAGTGTTAAGCTCAATCTCTATACTGCAGCCTCTTTAAACAAAACACATAACATGGAGCACATTCTGAATTTCACACATTTCACATCCATGACCAATCATTTAGAGACTCTGGAAATAAGCTGAGACTGCTTTAAGATTCTGGGAGACAGGGTGGGGGAGGAATATTGCAGAAAGACTAGAAAGACATTTGACTTCAGCTTTATAAATATTACCAACAAAGTTTAAATTCTTCAGAAGGATATATATAACTCAAATACTAAATGTTAGAATTAATGTGAAAAAAGTATCACCTGTCCACTGATTTTTAACTATCATATCTGCATTTACAACTAAATTGTCCACCTGCCCATCTATAGATACGGACTACCAAAAGAATACAAATTCATTGTGATAACAACACTGCAAATGGTCATTTGCTCACAATCCAGCCTACACTGGGAGTGCAGGCCAGTAAAAGCATTCTGGGGGAAAGCCCACTTACTCTGCATTTATTTTCAACATAAAGACCCTTCCAGTCACATCTAAGTGAAAATTCCTTTATTTAGTAGGCAAATATTTACTTATTGACCTATTAAGTGTTAGACACTTAATAAATACATCATAGAATGTTACTAAAAAGCAGTAAATGCCTTTGACCTAATGACAACCAAATGACTGCCTATATTTAGAAAATTTAGTCTACTGGGCAAACAAGAGTGTTAAATGTAGGTTGGGGAGAAATACGATACAAAATAACTCATCACTCCATCAAGGTAATTTCTTACCTTTATCACAACCTGATCAGTCCATTACAAATTTATTACCACTGACAACCAATAATCAGCACCTCATCTTTTCATTGTATCTTAAGAAGGGGGGAGGCTAGGTATGGAGGCTCACACATGTAATCCCAGCACCTCATCTTACTGAAGGGATCCCTTAAAAAAGAGTTTATCACTAGTATCCACCCAAAATTGCATAACGTTTACTTGATCTACAATTACTTTTTCTTGGGTACAGTAATATGAGGCAAGTGTGTACTGAAAACTTAAAGAGGCACTCTCAACTCGTTGAAGAATTAATCAGAGAAAAATTATCATGCCTACCCTACTAAATCTCTCTAATTTAACTGTCTGTTTAACCCAAGCCCTTCAGTTCAAATGCTTGGTCTTTGCCTTTCCTTAGTTATTCAAACACTTGTATTCAGGGCATCTTTTTAAAACAATTTGTGCTTTTTCCCACTGGTTAAATTCTTTTACCCACAAAAATAAGGACTGCCCAAGCCTCCAGCTTCTGAAAATAACATCTGATGTGTGCACATAACAAAATGCTTGAGAGAATGTCCTAGCTTTTATTTAAAACTTTTTCATTTAAAATTAGAATCCCTTAAGCAACAATTAGACATAAATCAGCCTTTACGTTATTAGGAGATTGCTATTCTTCAACATTTACCTTAAACCACAACATGGATTTATCTTCAAGAGACTGAATGCAGAAGCAATGTAAGCATCCAGTTGTCTTCTATAAAGCTGAACAAAGAGTTACAAAAATGTAAAATAATGCTACTCTTCCCACTAAATTTTTGTTCTGAAAAACATTTTACATAAGCTGTCAATTTATGTTATAGGTAGTGGGTCTATTATTATTTGTAAACCTATTAATGAATACATATTTAAGGTTTTCTCAGCTTTAATTTCTAATGTGACAAATATCAACGGATACAGGCTACATAAAGGCTCTTTGAGTGCTCAACAATTTTTAAGACTCTAAAGGGGTCCTAAAAACAAAAAGTGTAAGAACTGCTGTAATACACAATTATATAACCTAACACACAGTGCTTTCCACGGATAAGAAGCTCATGTTAATTCTGAAGTAAAATTACTTCTTACTTCTAGTAATCTTGTTCAGTTCTGTATCTCCCTGTAAAGCATCATTCAGCATAAAGCCAGTCTGTTCTAGTCCCCATTTAATGGGCTTTGGATATTTAATTATTCAGAGTCCTCTTTATAAAGATGTTCTGACCTCTAATACCACCTATTACTTGAATAGTGTATACAAGTTTCACAAAGTTTTCACAAAAAATTACCATGTTCATCGTAACAGCCACCTGTGAAGTAAATGCAAAGTATCCTTTTTTACAGGTTATATAAGGAAACTGATACTCAAAGAAAATAGAACTATTTGTCCAGTTAGGTACTGCTAACTGATGGAACCCAGAATGTTATGGGATTTTGCAATTTGCTTGGCTGTCTTGCTGTGTTATAACTGCAAACTCCCAAAGAAAATAAAGCAAGGGCATTACTTTTATTGTCCCAGTGCCAAAACAGGGATTTTCCCCTCCTTAATAAGAACGTAATCAGATTTGACACCCAGTCACAGTATTATTCAACACCTCAGCTACCCTTTTGGTCCCCTACCAAAAGCAATAAAATACAATAAAGAGTATGGGCGAAAAAAACACCAGACTATATAACGCTCCAAGATAACGAGTTAGTTAAGGACTCACAGATTTGCTGATCATTTAGTCACTGAAACAACAGGCACACAAGATCAAGCTTAATACAATAATGCTAGATTATATCAAATGGGTTGAACCCGCATGAAATGGGTTCAGTTCAGATTGTGGACTCACACAAAGTTGCCAAACTAGCTTTATTGGTTCTACAAATCTAAGCAAGTGACTACAACCAGGCGTGTAAATCTTTGTCAGGAACACTTTGTTGCAAGACGCAAAGATGCCATCTTACTCCTTGGACAGAAATCACTCCTCCCTTATGGCTAAACATACTAGTTCATTCTTGTTATCAGCACATCTCCTTATGCTCCACTTTAACTTATTAAGTTCCTCAAGAGATGCTCAATTTCCTGTATCTCTTTTACAGTCAAGCGGACTCCCTGACTGATAGAGTCAAGACTGACTCACAAGAGGGTATCTGCCACCTGCACAATTATTTTCTTTTTTTTAGATTGATGTGCCCAGTGAAGCCATTTTTAAGTCTGATGTGATTTCACCCAGAAAATACCAGAAGTGTACTAATTGTCCATTTTGTCTTTCTGTAGTTTACTACAGATGTGCAAGAGTAATCCAACCATTCCCTGAGGTACGCTTTTCCTAGCGTTAACTTTGGTCCTTTTTTTGTTTTCAAATTTCTTTTGGGGAAAAAAAGTTAAGTTACAATTATAGCACCACACCAATAGCTAGTTATAGCTAATGTACCACCACCAACCAATCTGTAAAGTAGTGCCATACACCCTATTTGTTGTTCCATACTCAACATTCCAACAGATTTATAGGTAAAAGGTAATTTACACAAGCTTCTGCATCCTCACAAAAGAACTGCAATACTACTCTGTGAAACCAATTAACCGGTTAATTTTTAAAGGCTTCATGCAGAAAAAGATATCTGACTTTACAAAGGTAAGCAAAGCATCAGATGTCTGAGCGCGCCAGGAAACCGCAGTTATTTCTATTCCTTATCCCAGAGTATATTTTTCTTTGTGGACCTACCAATGTTTTTTCCAAGGACATAATCACTATTTAAGAAGCTGTCAAAACTGTTAAGGCATTCTTTAAACTATCTTCCCAGCTCCGGCCCATGAGACATGTCACAGCTAAATCATATCATCGCCGTTTTTCTACATTTCAAATGAACTTAAGATTTTTGAAGTGAACAATTCGAATTGTACACTATTAATATAACCCAAGCTACCAGCGATCATCTCAAAGCTAATAAACAAAGACTAGCGGTGGCACCAGGGCCCTACCAGGAAGTAATCAAAGCCGTGTGGCCGGTGCGATCCTAAGAAGTCGCTTAGAGCAGACAATGAGAGGGCACTGGGGCTTCCAAGGGGGCCCGCAGGAGGAGTTAAAACGCTTAAGCAACTCAAAAGCCTTACATAAACCGAATAACTGTTTCACAACACAGGAACTCGGGAATCCCAAGGCAATTTCGGACAACCCAAAAGGTGTGAAAAGCAAACTCGAGCCGTCCCCTCCAAAGCAGCTGTTGGCTCAGCCTCCGAGCTTCTCAGCCAGCAGCCTGTTTTCAAACTTCACCCTCCCAGGCGGATGAAAGACCCGGACCTCCGCCGCTCGAGCTCCGAGCGCCTCTCGGGGTTTCGAGGTGCCGGAGCCTGAGAAGGGAAAGGAAAGCCGGGCCGGGACCGGCGGCGGAGAGGAGCCCCCGCGCGTCCCGCAGCCCAGACAATGCTGCGCCGGGAGAGCGGCGATCCTCCGGTCCTGTAGGCGGAGGAGCGCGGCGCGGGCCCCTCCACACGTGCGGCCGCCCCTCGGGGGCCGGACACCCGCTCCACAAGCGACCCCGAGACACGGACGGGCACAGCCCCCGGCCACGGCAGGGCGGGGCAAGGGCGCGCGCCGCGGGCCAGGGTCCCCGCCCGCCGCTGCCCCCACGCGCTCGAGACCTCCGCAGACTCCCGCCCCTCGCGGGCCTCTCCTTCGCCTGCCCGGCCGTCGGGCCTCGGGAAACAAAGGAGCAGCCGCCGCTCCCGCCCGCGCCCGCCTCACCGCTTACCCTCCCCAGCCCGCCAGGCCCGGCTAGCCCCCGCCTCGCCCCTCCCCAAGTCCTTCCGCCTGCCGCCCGCGGCCCCTAGACGGCAGGCCCGGCAGAGCCGGGGCCTCGGGTGCGCGGCGGGGCCGGCCCGGGGCCGCACTCACCGCTGCAGCACCAGGACGATGGGGAGCCGTTGGGGAACTTGGCTGAGTCCGGAGCGATGCAGACGCTGGAGCTCAGGTGTGGACACTCCATGGCCACGAGGAAGGTGGCTGGGAAGACCGTGGCTCCAGGACCGGGCGAGGTGGGGGCGGAGAAACTCCGGAGGCTCCGTCTGGAGTCGCTCCTAGCCGGGCGATCGGCCGACGGCGGCTGCGTCTCGAGCCCTTGCGTCAAAGAAAGCACGGGCTTCCGGACGCCGGGTTTTCTCGCCCGCCGTCTCCCGGCGCCCCGCTCCGTAGAACGTGTAAATCCGAGATCCGGGTTCTGCAGCCACCCCTAGACTAGAGGCTTCCGCCTTCCCAGGCAGGCCCCTCCCCGCCCCGCCCCCGGGCAAGCCCCGCCCCCGGGCCCGCACCCGTCCACCCCGCAGGGTGGGGTCCCGGCGCGCTCCAGCTGGTGGCGCAGAGTCCTACTGCGCTCCGAAGTGACTTCCCTGGTCCCGCCGCTTCCCCGTAACCGGGAAGGGTGGGGCGCCGAGCGCGGCACCCCAGGCAGTCCGCCGCGTTTCCTGCGGCAGGCGGAGGAGACTGAACCTACATAGTGCCGACTACTCCGCGGCTTCGTGGTAAAAATCCCCCCGCACAGCAAAGTGTGAAGAAGATTAAAACCTCTGTGGCAGACTGGCACCATGGCCTTCATTTTATACACGAAGAAACAAGCTGGGGGAGGGCAAGGGCCTGGCCCCAGGGAAGGCGGGCAGCGGGTTTGATGGTGCCAGGACAGTTTCGACTTAGCTTTTGGCTCCCTGCAGCAGGTGCAACCCGGAGCCCTTTCTAGGTTCTGAACACGTGGCCTTAGCCAGCAACCTAGATGCTGCGTGGCTGGGCCCGCAGGGGCGCCCATGAACCCGCGTTCAAACCCTGTCACTGTGACTCACCTTTTGCTTTACCTCCAGCACGTCGCAGGACTTTCAAACATGGAAGTTCAACTGAGATTAACGTAGCCTGGGATTGCTGGGCAAGCTAAACTCCCCTCCAGGAGATAAGAAGGAAAGGGATCTAGCATTTGTTAGACACCTTCTCCGGTCTCCCAGCCAGGCACTTCACACACCGCATTTAAGCCTTGCAACACCCTACCAGCTCACTGTTACCGTCCCCTTGTTACCGTCCCTTTTACCGCGGGGGAAACCAAGTCTGTAATTTGTTAATCTGTGTCAAGATTGGATCCGTGATCCTCTGACCTCTTTTTAGTAAGGGGCTAGGGGAGAGAGCAAGCCTCAAGGGGTCGCTTGGGCCGGCGTACCCAGGATCGAGCCTGCGACCTCACTGGGGCACTTGAGGACATCCGGGGCTATTACAAATATTGCTTCCAAGTTGGGGCTCCTTGTAAAACCCGGCGAAGGACACTCGGGGCCAGAAGGGGAGCAGGCAGAGGGGGAAGACTGATGTGGCAATCTTGCGGCCAGGGAGAGAGGAGGAAGGAAGGTCAGGAAATGATTAACCGGGCCGGGCAGTGGTTAGAGCCGGGCACCTCCCTGCAGTGCAGTCCTAGAGCAGCTAGGGACGCCCCGTCAATCACTTCTCACCCCTCCCTACCTCCCACGCCACAAGTCGGCTTCTTCCGCATAGACCTCTGCCTATTGGCATCCACCCACCGGGGGCACCTCTGCTCATCCTTTCCCCAGAAGTATTTCAGATTCCTCAAAGATCTGTCCTTTTCCAAGTGGTATTTGATTGCTGTTAGAGAAACCCTCGGCCTGGGATTTTAATGGCAGTGAGGCGTTGTGGAAAGCGCGTCTGCTTAGGAAGACAGGTCGGCATGCGTTCAAATCTTAGCTCTGCTACCTACTTGACGGCCAGGCTTAGCAAGTGTCTCTAGCCGTTCCAAGCCTCTTCTAGATCTGTAAAACTGGAAGAATACTGGTCTTGCCAGGAAGATGTGAGAATTCATGAAAATTACCACCACATAATAAGTGGCCAATAAATTACAACTTTTTCTTTGTTTTTAATGACAGTAGATGAACGCTGCTATCCTGGGAAACTTAAGAGGAGAAACAATAATATCTGCCCTTGGCTCAAGCTCTTCCATCCATCTCTCCCTGTCAACCTATTTGTCTTTAAGGCCTTGCTCCACCAACCTTCTGTTTTCCTCTGGACACCCACCCCCACTTAGCATCCATAGCTCCTTCTTCAGCCCTGGAAGTGATCTCACTCAGGCCATGCTTCATATTATGTAATATTTCTCCACCCTCTCAGAGACTCATTTCCTAATCCCCTAGACTTCAGTTTAAACATCACTTCCTGAGGGAGACTTTCCAGACCCTGTCCCACCCCCAGGATACCTCCCAGTGTGTGATGCCCTTGTCTGCCCCAACACCGGCTTTTAAAAACACTTTATTTGGCCGGGCGCGGTGGTTCATGCCTGTAATCCCAGCACTTTGGGAGGCCAAGGTGGGCGCATCACCTGACGTTGGAAGTTTGAGACCAATCTGACCAACATGGAGAAACCCCGTCTCTACTAAAAATACAAAATTAGCTGGGCGTGTGGCGGGCCCCTGTAATCTCAGCTACTCGGGAGGCTGAGGCAGGAGAATCGCTTGAACCTGGGAGGCAGAGGTTGCAGTGAGCCAAGATCGCGCCATAGCACTCCAACCTGGGGAACAAGAGTGAAACTCCGTTTCAAAAAACAAAACAACAACAACAACAAAAACACATTATTATTACAATTTTTTTGTTGTTATTTTTTGTTTTTTTTTTTTTGAGACAGAGTCTTTCTCTGTCTCCCAGGCTGCAGGACAGCGGCAGGATCTTGGCTCACTGCAACCTCCGCCTTCCGGGTTCAAGCGATTTTCCTGTCTCAGCCTCCCGAGTACCTGGGACTACAAGCGCGTGCACCACGCCCAGCTAATTTTTGTATTTTTAATAGAGACAGAATTTCACCATGTTGGCCAGGATGGTCTTAATCTCTTGACCTCGTACTCCCGCCGGCCCCAGTCTCCCAAAGTAATGGGATTACAGGCATGCACCACCACACCTGGCCAAGAACACTTTTTTAAAACAAAATAGAGGTGGGTGGGGAAAAAATTGAGATGGTGTCTCCTATATTGCCCAGGTTGGTCTCAAACTCCTGGGCTCAAGTGATCCTCCTGCCTAGGCCTCCCAAAGTGCTAGGATTACAGTTATGAGTTCTAAAAAAACTCATAACCGCCCCGCCTAAAAACACTCTTCATGCATGTAATTATTTGTCTAATGTCTCTCTTCCCCTTGCAGTTCCATAAGGTAGCAAACAAGTCTGTCTGGTTTTCTGCTTTATTTCTAACACGCTCTGTAGAACATGAAGGATGTCCAATAAATAAGTGAATAGATGAACGAGTGAGTGTGTGGTATGTTAGCCATGTCTGCCATGGGCAGGAGCTTAGCAGGTAGCCCAATATTTGCCAATATTTGACCCCTAGAGATGGTCTCTAAATTTCCTTTCAGTTCTGACTTTATAATTTTAACGGGATCAGGAATGTGAAAGGTCTTTGTAAGGTGTAAACTATTTTAAGGGGAAAAAAAGTTTGTATTAGTGACTTCTCTCCCCAGCTAGAATAAAATCCCTTGGGAGCAGGAGCCCTAATTTAGTCCCAGATTGTGATAGTCCCCAGAGGGTAAATTCTGTCAGGCAGTCCGGAGAAGTTGGGCAGAATCTAAGAGGCCCTCCCTCCTGGGGCTTTTGCTAGATTTCCCTAAAACAGCGAACTTCCCTGTGTCTTTGAAAGTTTTCATAACAAGAAAAGAGTGGAGAGAAAGAAACCCGCAGTGAGTGAGTGAGTCAAATGGGGGAAGACCACGAGGCACACTGGGAAATCTGCCTTTTCAGTCCCTCGTTTCTTCAGCTGCATTTAATAACATTTGAGTTTCTGTTCTTGGTCCGCTTCCCTCTGGCACTGAGGAGCTCTGACTTAGCATCCCAGCAAGCCCTGAGGGTGACGATCCAGTCTCCCCAGCTCCCGTGCTCTTGAACGCGAGTGCTGCTGCCTCTGGACATCCGGGGGCTGGGAGAGAGGGTGGTTTCCTCGGCCAAACCTGCCCAAATTGGCGGGCCTGTTTGAAAAGTTTGCATTTTTCATTGGGGAGGAATGAAAAATTGAAACCGTACAATCAAATGTTTCTCTCCTAAAGGATAATTGTATGTACATGGAAGTGGGCCGGGTAGTGAGGGGAGGGCGAGGTCACATGTTGCAAGGGAACCACTTCAGGAAAGGTCTCAGGGTTGCCGCGATTTTCCTAAAACCCTAAACTTATGACTTTTGGCAGAATTAATGGTCCTTAACCGAGAATTACAAGGCAGACCAGGCCCTGGGGAAAACTAGCTCTGACTATTCCCCTCTCAGGGGAAGGCTCATTGGAAACACTCCGAGAGATGGCTTAATTTTTTTTTTTTTTTTAATTGAGACGGAGTCTCACTCTGTCACCCAGGCTGGAGTGTAGTGGCACAATCTCAACTCACTGCAACTCCTGCCGCCCTGGTTCAAGCGATTCTCCTGCCTCAGCCTCCCGAGTAGCTGGAATTACAAGCGCCTGCCGCTGTGCCCAGCTAATTTTTGTATCTTTAGTAGAAATGGGGTTTCGCCATGTTGGCCAGGCTGGTCTTGAACTCCATACCTCGTGATCCAACTGCCTGGGTCTCCCAAAGTGCTGGGATTACAGGTGTGAGCCACCGCGCCCAGCCAAGATGGCTTAATTATTAATATTTACGATAGAGATTTTTCTAGGAGCAACGCCTCCTTGGAAAACCAAAGTTAGATCAAGAAGAGGCCTTTGGTAAGTGTTGGGGG